TGTAAAGTCCATTCTCAGTGCATGTGCACTGGTGGCTTCAAGTTTCTACATCACACCGTATACAAGTTGCATACTGGACCAGCACTGACTTCCAAACTATTTGTGATGTCACAAATGCCGCTGGTAGGCCCCGCCCCTTAAAAAATCAGCTCTTCAATGAGCACAGAGAAACTTTCCACTTTCAGCAGCAAAACATCCTTCTAGTGTCAAACCGCACAGACATGATTGACACAGGGCACTGCAGGGAAAGTAGAAACACTGATTGTTGCCCTTTCAACAAAGGAGGGGTAGGATAGACCTCATCAATAGAAGCTGTTAGAGGACTATATTAAAATTATTTTTCATTGAATAAGTTTTACATTTGAATTCATGTTTGAATAGCTCAGTACAACTCTTAACATTTCAATATGGTCATAGGAGGCCCATATGAGTACATGAAAATGCTGATGGTAATTTTGTTTTTTTTAAGTAGTTCAGCTTAATTTCAGTTAGTTTCCAGAGTGGGGTTAATCGTTTCACATTAGTTTTTATTGTGAGGTAAAGAATCAGAATACAGTTCTACTGCCCATCGAAATAAGTAGTTGAGTTCAATAAATGCACAAGTGATCAAAACAACACAGGACAGCATTAGTTGTGGAATATTTTAATTTGAATCTCTTTCCAGTGCATAATACTGTGTACTCATTATAATGTCCTCTGTAAGATGTCCCTCCTGCAGTTGGTTTAGTTCCCAAACGCACGTGTGCTTGGTAATCATTAGGACAATGTATGAAATCACACATGGAACTACAAACTCTGTAGTTCCTGCTCTGCTCTGTGGGGGTTTAAGTGCACAAACACAAAATAAAGTGAAGAAAAACACATCAAGTCAGGCCGTACAGTGACACTGACTTCACAAGTACAAAGTCAAACTTAAGGGTAGGATAGAGGGTTGCGGGCATATGGGTATTGTTGTTTTTTTCTTTTAAATCATAATGTTTTTTTTATCCAGGAAGTCATTGGGCTCTCGTCACTAATGGAATAATGTTGAATGGTTGGTTAGGTTGTGGATGGGGTAGGGAGGAGTGGAGTGACTGGGTGGAATGGTGATGAAGTATGTGAAGGAAGAAGCAGGCTTCAGTAGGCGTGGTCTGCCACAAACAGAGAGTCCTGAGCTGCTGCTCCCTTTTCTCCAGAAGACACGTACTTCCCCAGAGCTGCCTGGCTGTTATTCTGTGGAGAGACACAAAGCAAAGGAGGATTCATTAGAGCATGGCTTTCCTTTTTATTTTTTACTTAGTGCCATTTTCATGACTTTGCTTTACTGGTTATAACTCTTCTTTATTGATGTTGATTTTCAGCAGTTTTAAAGCTGCAGTAGGTGACTTATTTAGGAGTAGGTATTTGGGAATTAGACTCAATAATCTTTCTTGACAAATATGACAACATTTTTTTTTTATAAAAATGAGCTACACCACCTTTACGTCTTGTGATATTCTATATTTTTTATTATTGTCAATAAATCCCACTTACAACAGTGAACAACAGTGAATTTATCTGCTAAACAAGTACTGTGTGTGTCACAGTCTGATATGGCTTCTTTCTCCGTGCCATGGAGCTCCATTGTCCAAAATGATCAAAAAATGATCAAAAAAACACACCAATGAGCCACACTGTTGCACTGGGTGACATGTTCCTCCATCACCATTCAACACACTGTGTATTTTTTTGTTGTTGTGTATTTTTATTCAGTCCCACATCCACCGTCCTGATGCCCCAAATACTCACTTGAGCACCAAGTGTTATCTGTTAAAAACAGTGCAGAGCACTGTGCCTTATTTTTTTGTAATTCATGGGATTGGTTGACAATAACAATAAAAAACCCTTTAATATTCTGTCACTGTAATGTGACCAATTAAACCAATGTTTCTCAAATGGGGGTACCCCTAGGAGTACTTTGGAGTACTGCAAGGGGGTAAAAAATATGCATATATTTGCATAATTCCTAAAATAGTTCCATAAACCACATTTTATATTCAATATTTCTATTTTCAATAATAATAATAATAATAATAATAGTAAACTGCCAACTGCAGTTGCCCCCCTGACACAGAGAATGACCTCAGTGAGGCACTAGCACATGTTTCTCAATGTACTGTCAGTACAACTTATCAAAAGGTTGCAGTTCAATGCAACTTCAATATCATCTTAGTGTTATTCCACAATGACAACAATTGGTTTGCTATACATGTACTGATGGATTCTAAACATTTGAAATGAAGGATTCAAGTGTTTTTCTTTATAAATAAAACACTGATGGTGTATTGTACCTCTTTATATAGGCTTTTTATTCTACCAAAAATGAAAAAGCAGGTATATTATGGAAAAGGTTTGAGAAGCACTGAATTAAACTACAGTATCTTAAACTATTTATACTCTTCTGATTTTCTTATTCTAACTTAATTCCAACATTCCTTTAGCAGCCTGTCTGTTTTTGTGAGGTCATGAGAGCAGGCATGGGCCTGCTGGAGTGCTCGCACTGATGCAGATTTTTGTCCACATGAGAACCCTTATTTCTTATTGCGTAGTACCACCTCTGGTGAGCAAGGCTGTACTCACCACTGAGGTCACAGATGTATTTTTTTTAATGCCCCTAACCCTACTAGTAAGTTCAGTTTTCAATTTGACCTCAGTATTTCTAAAGCCCTGTGTACAGCAATACTGGTCAGGTACTCCTAAAAGCCTGTGTAACTGCTTCTCTGCGTAATCACATAACTAAACACTAAGAAAACTGAAAATGTCCTTGTTAAAAAGGATAAAAGTGCGTAAAAGTATTACGTTTAGGGTTATGTTGTGTTTATGATAGGGTTATGTAGTGTTTTGATAGGGTTATGTTGTGTTTATGATAGGGTTATGTTGTGTTTATGATAGGGTTATGCTGTGTTTATGATAGGGTTATGCTCAGTTAGGGTACTGACACCTTTTTTTGTCAAATTCAGGCACTGGTTAACATATTCATATTTTACTCTCATAATATGTTGCAATTATGAAATATGACTCACTGTAATGAATTTAACTCTCCAACAGTAAATAACGTCTTTCATCAAGGTTCGTGAGCGTCCATACCCCATATGAAGATGCTACATATAAAGTGGCATAAACTACAAAATTGTTCAATACAACATAAAATGTAATTGGATGTAACTGTGCTGTATAGAGCAGAGGTTGAGCCACACTCTCATATACATGTTTTTTCCTGCCTGGAATAGAGCTGTAAATACATTGTCAGGACTCCAATGGACTGCTAAATGGTCATTATACAGCCATTAGCCATAGCCATTCAAAGCGTGTTACACTACATATCACACACTAATGGCTAAACATCAGGAGCAACTTGGGGAGTCTTGCTCAAGCAGCAGAATGAACTGGGGATCGAACCATCAACATTCTGATCAGTGTACGACCTGCTCTACACAACCTCCTCCTCCCTCCTTACCAGGGCTCTCTTGATGTACTCGTCCTGGCAGGCTTTGCTGTTCTCCTTCTTGCCTCCCCAGGCTTTCAGCGCCGAGGCCTGCAGGGCCCGGCCGAAGGAGAAGGTGAGGGCCCAGGGCCGGTGCAGGGGACACTGGTTGATGGCGTTCAGGTTGACGGTGGCCTCCTCCTCACTCTGACCGCCTGACAGGAAGGTCACGCCTGGGGGGAAGAAGAATGCACAGGAGGGTCAGGTCGGAATGAGAGAGGCGTAGAGATGTAACAACAGTATATCAGACTCACCTGGCACAGCGGGGGGCACAGTGCGACGCAGGGCGGTGACAGTTGCCATGGCGATCTCCTGAGGGCTGTACTTTCTGGGGCAGGAGTGTCCGGCGGTCACCATGTTGGGTTTGAGCAGCGTGCCCTCCAGGTAGACGTGGTGGACAGACAGCGCCTTGTAGACTGCTGCCAACACCTGAGAAACAAAGACACTGATGTCCATTCCCTTGGTTCCAAAAAAACATTGGAAGGAAGTTTTTTTCTCCCGCCCATGAAATTTAGTTCAGTCATGTTCCCCACAAAATGGATTGTGATGATCCTCTGACAGGTCAAATTTTAACTTAACAAAACTACTTTGTGATCTGTAATCTGTAACTTTTATAAAAATAACTATAAATTATAATATAATAAATAAACTTTCACTACATATATCCTGACAGTAGGACATGAGACAGCGTCTCTCTATCTTTCTCGGCTCTGATTGGTTGTTTTCGTTCCCGGTGGATTCTTGCAAATACCATTAGGAGTACTAAGAGGAGCCAGAGGAACCAGATTTTTTCACAGTTTCAGCAAATATGACAAAAAATAATTGATATAAAAATGACCTACTGCAGCTTTAATTGAAAGCTTGCTGGGAAACGAGCACCAGTAAATTCAAAGAAGTAGCAGACAGGACTGCATACAAATATGCACCACAAGTGTTGATGCCAGATGCTGAGACTGTTCCAAATTCAGGGTGATGATGACATTTCTGCGCATTAGTGAGAGTGGCATCCTACCCATCATATTGAGGTTGATATCATTCATCACTCACCTTCTCAGTCACATACTGGCAGCGCTGCAGGTCGTGGTCGCCATCTGGGAGAATCTCAGGCTCCACAATGGGCACGATGCCATGCTGGAGGAAGGGGGACATAGCAGCCAGCGTCATGACAACTGGCAATAGCACTTCCTCTCTGGGGGTTGTGACTAGCCTACCAACTGTTACACAGTTAGTTAGAAGAGAACCTGATGGGCCAACCGTGTTGTGTAACAGCTGTTTGTGTTACATCACTGCAGCGAGAAAGCTGTGTATGTTTGTGTCTCTGTGTGTGTGTGTGTGTGTGTGTGTGTCTTACCATCTGGCAGATGCTGGCGTAGCGGGCCAGCACATTGGCGTTCTCGATGATGGCCAGCTCGGACGGGGTGGTAGGGGTGATCTTTAACACACATCGCCACTTGGCAAAGTCGGCGCCATCCCTCTTGTACTGAGCACAGCGCTCGTAGAGGCCGTCCAGACCTGACGGAGACACACAGCACAGTAGGTTGGAGTGATGGGAGAGGCTGAGAGCAAATGCTTAGTGCTGAAGAAGCACTAGTGGCTGATCTTTCATACTTAAACAGAAATACACTCATTCAGAAGGGTGTAAGAAAATAAAGAAAAATATTGTATAGCAATATTTTGTATTGTGATATTGCATAAATTCTAAAACACTGTATTTATTGATTTATTGATCAGTTTGTATTTATGTTGTTAGTACTTCCTACTTCCTACTGTTCATATGTGTTTTCTGCTACTGTGGTTCCAGGTGCATTTAAACAGGAGGTGAATGGGATTGAGGTCTCATTTCTTTGTTAACTGTTAAATTATAAATGTTTATACCATGCCCCCAGAGAATTCTCAATTCTGATTGGTTGGTAGGTGTGGATTAGTTACAGGACCTGTGCAGTCGGTAGGGCAGACATAGTGAGGCTTAGCTAATGAGCTTTGAGCTAGGGTTATTTGCGTAACCAACACTACCAACAACAACAAAATAAAAACAGCTTTGCATTGAGCAGAGCCACGCAAATTTCAGTCAAGTGTTTGATATTTGAGGGAACCGAATGTGATCAAAACCCCAAAGATAGATAAAGAGACAGCGATGGAGGGCAGAAGGAGTAATGTCTGTAGTGTTAAAAGAACAGCCCACACTCTTTGGACGTGAAGTTTTGTATTTCGTCACACATACTGACTGTATGTGTGCTAAGACAGGCTAATATCACAGGTCAATATACTGTCTAAATTGCATGCATAGCCATATGTAGAATAGGTATCCATGACTTGAAAAACTGATATTACAATCACTCCCCAAAGCCAAAAACTAAAATGTTAATTGGTAAGGTTAAACGTACTACAGGGATCATCCAGTCTCAATTCAATACTTATGTCTCTATATGACCCACATAAACAATCAAGGTCATCAGCTATTTCTATATAGTTATTCTTAATTCATTGCAATTCTGTTTGCCTTTTTTTAATTCATATTATATGTGGTCATTTATTTATGTTATTGATAGTTTTGAGTAATTATTGAATTAGATGTGTTGTATTAAGGCCACCTGCTTTGTTTTATCTACTTTTCCATTTTTCGTTTGCCCTTTGGTTTCACGATTGTATAAATGTTCACATTTATTCATGAAGATTGATAGTTTGAAGCAAGTACATTTTTTTTAAAACGTTGCACCATTTTGTTCTTTGTTTTTCATTTGATTGTATATAGAATATGCTCTTCTATGTGTGTTAAATGTTATGCTTAGGTTTCTATAAAAACTGTGTTCATTAAAAACATGTTCTGGTGTTGGTCAGTGTAAATATGCAGCATCCCTCTATTACAGTGGTTGCACTAAGGGTCGCCAAAGCTTACACAAATATGTGTATACCAAATATACACAGAGTAGGCCTATATCATCTTAGCGTTTCATTCATTTGAGTTGAACACAAGTTTACAATTCAATTTTCACAGAGCTGACAAACAGCCTCATCCTGCATTTAAAAAAGAACACAGTTAAAACAACCAAATAGCTGATGGAACAATGAGAGGATAACACTAAATAAGAAGCCTATTAGGTGTATATGACTGTTAAAAATAAAAAGATATATATATAATGAAGACAGAGAATTGTATAAACATTTTTCATAAAAAAAAAATTATTCATCAATATCTCTCATTTTACACAAACGCCCTGCAGTTACTGAAACTACGAAAAATATGTCACTTCGTCAGTTCACTCAATAATAACAAAGGGCTCTGTTAAGGCAAAAGGTTGGGAACTACTGTTCTATTACACATCGTTATTACAATAAAGCCAATCAGTAATAAGCACCCTCGTCAATATTACAGCACGTCTGTACCTTGAGTGGTGGTCTCTTGGTTGGTGCCGGCGAGGGGAACCACGCCCTTGTCCACCTTGATGCCCACCACCATGCCCTTCTCTTTGACCAGCTGTGGGAAGGGCTTGCCGTCGTCTGTCATTTGGTAGAGCGTCTCGTGGAAGAAGATGACGCCGCCGATGCAGGGGTTGACCCGCTCATCGGCGGTGAAGAGGAGCTGGCGGTAGAGCCTCCTGTTCTCCTCTGTGTTCTCCGTGTTGATGCTCTGAAAGCGCTTGGCCATGCTGCCTGTAGGCGCCAGGGGGACAGGGAGGAGACGAGTGGAGTGAGAGACACTACAGATTTCTTCATTTTAGGTTTTCTGCATAAATTTCTGGTAGATCTTTTCAAGGAAGAATCATGTGGTAAACAGGAGGTGGAGTGTTTTACTCAAGGGAAATTATAAAGCAACCATGATCTTTGGGAGTAACTGCAGTCTGGGGTGATCTGAGGTGTAATACCACCATGGCGTGAGACACCCGCCAATCAAGCAAATCCAACCTGAAAAATACTTCTGTCACATTTTAGCTCATTTACATCAAAATTACTTATAAGTAACCAAGTCATGCTGCTGTGTTCAGAAATGTCGATTTATTCCACATTTCACACATTTCTACACAATATGAACACTGAGTCTGCATTAATATTTGTCAGACTTGCATTATAATTGGTTAATGTGGAAACTTGACTACAGACCTTTCCTAATCAATCTGCACTTCAACTGCAATACAAGGAACCAATAATGTAACTTTGGTCAATCTTAAGTACCTGCAATGGATTGCATAAGTTAAGCAAATTTCAAGAGCCTGCCAATTGATTTTTATACTGTGCAGAAATGAATAGAAATAGAGCTGCGAACCGGTAACAGCTTTGAAAACGGTCAAAAAAAGATACAGATACAGACATTATTGAGATTATTGAAACAGTCCTCCTCTCATTCACACAGTCTTCTCCCACTGAAAGAGCACAGCTACAACGAAGGCTAAGCCAGTTGTAGAGACAAAATGTACAGTTTGTACAGAATACACTGTAAGAGTACAGATAAATGTGAAGAGAAAATTTCCTTTGAGCTTGGCAGAAAATTGATCCCAGTGAACTTGTCATTTAAATTCCACATAAGCAGACCTCCCATGACTGCCTCGTTTCAGTTTACGTAATATACAAAATTAGACACTCCCTGTCACAGGACAGATTGCAGAAAAAGACGTAGAATGCATTTGTTACTTCAGGCTGGATTGACTGAACTCTTGGTGTATCAGGTTGCCTAATAAGTATTAAAACGCTCCAATTAATCCAAGACGTGCAGCAGGAGTACTGGAACAGGAACAGGAAAAAGAGGTCACATCTCTCGCGTCCTAGCTTCTCTGTCATTGCACTCCTGTTTATAATTAGAAATAGAATTTTAATCTCCTCCTCACCTAAAACTTCTTCATGGTCAGGCCCCTTCATTCATCTGAAGAAGTTCATAGTACCAATATTACCCCCTCTAGAACACTACGTTCTCTTGAATGCTGGGCTAAGCTTGTGGTTCCTATAGTCTTAAAAGTAGAACAGGACAGACCTTCCAGTACCAAAGCTCCTCTCCTGGAACCAGCTCAGTTTGGTTTCGGGACAGTACACCCTCTCCCATTTTAAGCAGTAGGCTTAAGACGTTCTCTTTGATAAAAGCTTATTAGGTTAAGCCTGGATCAGGTTGAGTCCTGAACATCTCTTAGTTACGCCTGCTATAGCTAGACTTTCGGTGGGATTCCATGGTGCACTGAGCTCCTCTCTTCCTCTCTCTCTCTTTCTGCACTCATTCATGTTTCATTAATGCGATGTTACTAATGCACTTTCTTCCCGGATTCTTTGTGCTTGATCCATCCTGCAGGTTCTCATCGGATCCTGGTGGAGCCTCCTGCCATCGGGTCTGCAGTATTGCCGATTACCCATATAACTGTTGTGCTGTAAATGTCTGTCTGTCTGTCTGTCTCTCTCTCCTCTCACCCCAACTGGTCGAGGCAGGATGAAACCACCCACCAGAGCCCGAAGGGTCCTGTCCCTAGGTTTCTGCCCTTTTAACAGGCAGTTTTTCCTGCCACTTGTCGCCAAGGTCTTGCTCATGGTGGACTGTTGGGTCTCTGTAAATGTTATAAGGATCTCGGTTAGACCTGCTCTATTGAAAAGGTCCTGGAGAAATAAACTCTTTATGAATTGTATGGGCTGATATTGTGTCAGTAAGAAACTGAATTTGAATTATTTAGAGCTGAATCTTGATTGCATAATTTTTGAATTTGTATTTTTACTGACTGAATAGCATGTTTTTGAATTTGAATCTTTTAGTTATGAACTGAATTCCAGCCTCACTAAAAAATTCAACCCTTTTTATTACTTTCCCCAATTCCAGAAATCTCAATCAATTCAAATCTCTAAATTAAATTCAGATCGCTCAATTCAATCAGATCGCGTCAAAATTCAAAATTCAAGATCGTCCCACCATCCTCGCTCGTCGTATTCATCACTCAAGTTAAACTCACAGAATACAAACTTTTAAGGTACACGTCGGGTCAAACTTAAGCGAAGAAGCAATCGAGTGCAGAGTAAGCCCTGCAATCTTTCCCAAGCCAGCAGAGGGCGACTTCACTGGAAAAGAAGCCCAGTGCCATCAGAAATAAATGGCAAAAATAAGTTTCCTGACTGTTTGACCACTTCATTAAACATTTTTATTAACAGTTTCAAGTCCTTTTCAACAGCAGCATGAAGTTTCATTTAAAGGTGTAACTTTCTGATCCTATTTACGAGGAAATAGACGAATAAAGCAGTTTATGCTTAGGACGGGGCTGTGGATTTGAAGTCTGTTGGCGACCTGCAATCGAAGCTACCAGTAACTCCTATCTACTGCACTGTAATTTTGAAGCCCCGACATAGAAAAAAACTTATTAGGAGTCGCGTTTAATATTTGTCTCGGCTTAGTACAGTTTGTTTTTAGGCAAAAAATAGCGTCCCTGATTGCAGCCGGGTTTAGCTCAAACAGTGGCATCGGCACCATAACAGCGGCATTTCTGATGCAGGTGGGAGATGCCAACGATTTTCCTGAGATGCCACGGCACTTTCGCCGTTTATATTGGTATTCAGGTGGCAAGTCTAGGATACGATCACCTGCAGCTGTAACTGGTCCGGTTCACCGTAAAATGCCCATGGATAATTAACCGATTATGGAGTATAACGGGTTGGGCAAACAAGGGCTGTGTCCCGAAACCACCCACTTACCATAATAGGCTACTAACAAACATATACAACCAAGCAGTGACTGTAGAGAAAAGATGCCGACTGCACATGCAGCTGTTTGTAGCATCTGCTA